AGCTGCAGGATTCAAGCTTGCTGTGGATGCAGGGGCTACTATTACCCCTCTCTGATCAATAAGGAAATCGATACAGAGAGTAAATCATGTGTCCAAGGTTGTCCAGCTGATAGCGAATCTAGGCTTTGAACCTACATCTGCCACATTCCAGAACTATCCCCCCTCTCCAAGGCCTCTTAACCTCTTACCCTCTCACTGCCAATTGGTCAGTTTTCAAAGAAGTGTCTTGCCCAAGAGCCTTTTTGCAATCACGGAAAGTGGAAATCTACTTAGTCTGAAGAGAGGTGTATTTAAAGAGCCTCCTCCAACTGCAGCTCAACGGGACAAGGTATTAAGAGTTTACAACCGTGTGCCTGGGCTCAGGGCAGCCCCAGGAGGTCTGGCGCTCTTATCTGATTTCCTGGTGAGGGGGCGAGCGTTGGCCCGGTGCGTGTTTGTGCCAGGGGTCTCTGGGCGCCCGTGCTCTGTCCCCTCCTGGCTCTCCTGAGCCCTCCCCCTTCCTTTTCTTTATCTTGCTCTTATCAGCGCCGCAGGCATGAGAAGCATGTGCGGAGAATGAGGAAGGCCGCAGCAAAGAAGCCGAGAAGCAAGGGGTCAGGGCTCTGCTGTGACACATCGCTCCCCATAGTTAAGGGGTCTGGTAACCTCCTGGAGGTTTGGGCACTTGTTTTTCCACATAAAATGGAGTAAGGGTGGCCAATAAGAGAGCATATACTTAAAGGCCAACATTTTCCCAGTCTTGATCCTTTCCCACAAGCTAGCTGAGAAAGCAGATAAGATGTGCATTCCTGATTACTCGCCTGACCTGAATATTTATTTATCCTATGTACACCCACACTACTTCTAAAAAGAGCACTCTGCCCAACCAATCATTACTAGAAAAGTGGGTTAACAGAGTGAGGTAATGTGAGCGAGTCTTTCAAGAGAATCAGATCAATGATCAACACCTTCATTAATCTTCGAAGATGCCATAAGTTTCCTGTATAAAAGTATACAAACTATGAACCACCAGCCACGTGGACTGAGAGAGAACAGTGACCAGGAGCTTCAATCATCCCATCACCGAGAAGTCTCATGACACGAAGCAGAGGACCTGACTGGCTGGACTTGGGGGAAATGGCCCCCTTTCACATGCAGAGAACACACTGGCCCTGCAACCCTCAGAAGGAGAAACTCCAGAGGGACAGGAGGCTCTGCAAGATGAACAGAATGGTGACTCATCCCAGGGAGGGGGGCAACAGGGACAGATCTAACGGAGTTATTGTGTTTTTCATGACATGTTTGGATAGAGAAGAACACGTACAAAGATAGAAGGAAGGGCACGGTACCAAGGACAAGTTGAGAAGAGTGACACATTTTTGTGAGAACAGTGCCTGGCTTGAGCTGAGGCTTAAAAAAAAAGCTAAAGTTAGCAAAAAAAAAAAAGTGGTGTAGTGGATTATTCCTAGTTATGATTTAAAAAGAGATGATGCTCATGACTTAGGGTTCATGGTAGCATGTTAACGGAGCACAGAGAAAGTAAGATGACCCAACTCCTGACTAGCCTCTCCATAAAGGCAACACGGTCTTGACTAGAAAGATTTCAAGCAGGGTAACTAGAAGAGCACGGGACCTGAAGCGGGGGAGGGGGGGGGGGGGGGGTTTGTGTCCTCTCAGCCGCTTGAAATCCGCATCTCCAGGCCCTGCAGGCTCCCACCCCAGGACCCTGGACAAAAAGCATAACAGAAAGCATAACAGAGCCAATGTATTTAATCCCTGAAAAAACGAATGGAGGCTGGGAGGGCTCCAAAAGATTGTTGTCAGCAGATGTCCCAATTTACCCAGGGGGAAAAGACACCATTCCCACTGTACAGGCCAATAGCCTGGCAAGATTGTAATGAAAATGTAATTTAGAGAAGGTTTTTAAGCCCTTTGAAAAAGATGGATATTGAGAACGAACACAGGTTTGAGAAAAACAGACCGAACGACTTTATTGACTTACCCCACCCCTGCCCCCGCCCATAGGCTACCCAGTGGTGCAGGCAGTTAATGTGTATCTTGACATCAAAAAAACCCAATACTGGCTCTGGACCTATTTAGTCCCTGACAACCCTGGCTTGCGGGCTTGCGGGCTGACTGGGCTCATGGATCCCTACGACTGGGCTTTGGCCATTCTTGAGCCTCGCATACCATCTCAAGCTGTTTGTCTTTCGACACTCAGTGCAAATGGCACCTCCTCTGGGAAACTTTCTCCTCCGCCCAGGATGACTTACAAGTCCCCACTCTAGTCTGGTTGTTTACGTTCTCTCGCACTCACATGTTGGAATCCTAATGTCCAATGTGACGGTGGTAGAAAGTGGGGGCTTTGGGAGGTGATTAGGTCATGAGGGGGGGTGGCCTCATGAATGGGATCCGTGCTCTCATGAAAGAGACCCCACGGAGCTCCCCCCCCCGCCCCCTGCCATGTGAGGATACCACAGGAAGACACAACGAGAAGTCTGTGACTGGGAAGAGGGCCGTCACCCAACCACACTGGCACCCCAGTCTGACTTCTAGCCTCCAGAACTGTGAGCAATACATTGTGCTCGTTACAAGTCACCTAGTCTGTGGTATTTTGTTATAGCAGCCCAAACAGATGAAGACAATCCCTTATCCGTGCCCACCAAGCACGCGGGGCGCTCCACTATCACAGAACTCCCCCCGCCCCAGGTACAACAGACAGCTTCCTTATCTGCCTCCCTCAGCGCCTACAGGCCCTTGAAGGCGTTTGTGTTCCCAAAGCCCGGCACAGTGCCAGGCACACAGGGGACCCCCAACGCATGGTGATTGTTTGTTTGCACGAGTTTTGCTGAGAGGTTCAAGGTCAACCTGAAGGGAGTTGTCTCTCACTGCGTTCCGTGGCCTTCTCCATGTCTAGACTTTATCAGTGACTTGGAGGAACATTATACTTTCAGAGACTATAAAGCTGGCCAAGAAAGATGATTAGATAAAAGGCTCAAGGTTCAAGATCGAATAATGTACAGGCTGGCCACAAAGCGTGAAAATGCAGATTACTTTTTTATATAGATTTATTTTTCTGATATTTGTGTGGCATGCTAAAGGCATATTTTGTTTGTTTTGTTCTGGGGTGAAAATCAGAGACAGATCATCTGAGGCAACGCATAACAGAGGAATATGCTGGCGCTGATGGAAATGTGGCTTCGATGCACCATATTCCTTGCAATTTTCTACAGTGCTCTGAACCATGCATTGCTAATGAAGGTGATACATTGACCATATCATGTAATGTCACTGACCATATCGTACATTATAAGATTTGCAAGCCATTTATTATGTCTGTTCTTCTACTTTTCTAGACTTCGTGGCTACTCTGTAAAAAGACAACTGACAACCAACTATACAATTTTAATAGAAATATTCATGAAGCTTTATATTAGGTCTCAAAAAAATCAACTGGCTATCTACAGTATGCGGAACGTCTGGCTTTATTCATCCATCTACACATCCATGAATCCGTCCCACCACACTGAGGACTCACTATGTGCTAAATACTTACAAGAATGTACAGATTTAGTGGACAATGAACACTGCCTTCCCTGAGCTTATGTCCCAGTAGTGGAAAATGGATAATAAGTAAGCAAACGAAATAATTTCATATGTTGATGAGGGCCATGAATACAATAAAGCAATGTGTGATGGGGACAAGGGACAACTTGGATTAGGGGGAGGTGTGGAGATGCATCTCTGAAGCTTGCAGGACATTTATGTAAAGAGCCTGGTGGCGCTGGGCTGGTCATTAGCTCAATGTGAGTCTAGGATGTGCTGTGACTGTTGAAAATAAACCGAAGCTTGGGTCATATTAATAGAAGTAGAGTGATGGGATCAAGGGCAGTGATAATCCTTCTGCCTCTGTAGCAGTCACACCATTTCTAGACCCACTTCTGCAGCTGCAAATGCTCTGTATTTTAAGAGAGTCATGGAGTGCATCCAGAAGAGGGGTCCAGAAACCACATCTTATGAGGCGAGGTTGAGAGAAGTAGGGGAGTTTAGTTTGCAGAGTTTAAACTCATCTTTAAAATATCCGAAGATTCAAGATGTTCAGAAGAGAATGAGTCTATGCTCTGTGGTTTTAGGAGTTCATACCTCAACTCTTGGGAAGATAGCACAGTGTAGCTCAAACGCGGGGAGATGTCTCTAACAGAATTAGAGCTATACAGAAATGGGAGAGGCTTTTTGAAGAAGTGAACCCTCCACCCTCAGAAGTATTCTAGCAGAGGTTGGGTAACGTCTGTTAAAGACGAGGGATCCCCATGTTGGGTAAAAGATTGGGAATGGGGTATAGTTTTGTTTCTTTGAGTGAGAGATCTTGGGAATCATGGAAGGCCTGCCTTGTTAGAAGTGACCCCACTTCTCCTCATTTACCACGATTTTCGAGACCCAACCCGTGGGGACCAGGAATTCCAAGACTCCCAGTAACAGAATTCAACTCGAAACAAATGTATGATCCTTTGCTCAAGCCTCCCCTGCGCGTGTGTGTGTTTGCACGTGAGTGTAAGCAAAGCTGTCTGAACTTACCACCCTCCGGTATGAGGTGACTGTTCGTTGAGGCTCAGGTCAAAGGCTCAGCTCTATCTAGGAGCTCTGTGGCATTTCCTCTTAAGGCAGAAAGCCTCTCCCTTTCTCTGGAAATGCATCTATCTCAGGCAGACAGGTGGCTCCTGTTCTAACTGCCCTTTTAGGGCTATGTTTTCACACAAAGTTTTAACTGAACTCTAAAGTGTATTCAGCCAATTTAATTGCTTGGTGTAATCATTTTATGATTATGATTTGATAGTATATCAATTCTGTCTCGTATTTGCTCTGGGGGACCAGAGATCAAATCAAAACCCACTAAGATGAAGGCTTCAGGCAGGGATTAACTTGAATCCCAGACCAATATATTTTTTTGTCTATTTACTTGTGAAGTGTGTTTTGAAGGACAGAGCAGAACACGGGCTGTGAGATCAGTGAAAAACCCATACCTGAGCCACAGACAACAAAAACAAACAGTGCCAACAGCCATGGTCCCACGGGATATTTCTCTTCTTGTGGCCTCTGAAAGGGAATGGGGGAAAGGAAGGTTAAGTTCATTGATTCAGGAAACATTTGTGGGGTAAATACTAGACACTACTAAAGGCTGGGGATGCCACGGTGAGTGAGACGGATCCAGTCTCCATGCCCAGTGGGCAGACGTAGATGAAGAAATTCAATTGTAAAGGGTCCAGATAGGTGTGAAAAGATTCATCATAACCTTATTTATACTCCTGTAACTCAGTGAACTCTGTGGGCTTAAATATTCTGGGGACAGATGGGGTAAAAATCCACAAACCAATAGAGCGATTTGGGAGCCCCAAACGATACTGCTACAAATTGCTTCCATGTGTTGAAGGCACACTCTAAGCCAGGCTCTCCCCTAGGCAGTCTACACATTTCCACCACTCACAACGCCATGCAAGGCATAGTCTTATCTCCAGTTTGTAGTTGGGAAACGGACACCCGAAGTTTGTTCACTTGAGCAAGGGCTGGGATTTAGGTCTGCTCCATCGGAGAACTTGGGTGTCTTCCATTAATAGGGTCATCTTTAATTCCCCGATTCTGTGAATTCCAAGTAAGGTCACAGAAAAGCTATTTTCTCAAAACCTTCTACAGGCCAAAAAAAGTTGGCAAGTTGGTGCCATGGGAATCCTTGGAATGGCAGAAGCACCAAAGCAACCGTGAGTGGATATGCGAAGGAAGCAGCATTTTGTAATAAAGCTCCTGAGCCTCAGTGAAGCTTTCTCTTTGGCGAAATCTCTGCGTTCCCTGGGGAGCAGAAGGGCACCACCAGAGCCCTGCATACCTCCTGCTCCCCTCAAACCGACAGCACAGACATAGTAAGAACAACCATCCACAACCCCTCTAGGTCTATTTGCAGGTAGGGCTTGGTCCTTAAAATCAAATCGATCAGTGGAAAAACTATTTTTAGAGAGAGGCGTCCATAAAAGTGGTGACTTTCTCAAATAAAAAGGGAGAAGCTGGAGTGAAAAAAATAAAGAACTCACCAATGTTTCCTCATGTGTGTGGGCCAAAAACAAGCTATCACCAACGTCACTTAGAGAACTCATTTTATTACAGATAAGCAACAATGCTTTGGTTCTCAGCTTGCCTGGTACATTCTGAGAGAGCCTCCACTCCTCTATCTCAAGTGGGCTCACTGACCACTTATACATCACCAGGTATGTTTTCTGGACGGCAACTATCACAGTTTGTATCTGTTTATTCTCGTGATAATGTGTGTACTTTCTGTCTCTCCGCCAGACTATGGGCTCACGAGGACAGGCACTGTGTCTCTTTCCTGTTACAATGCACAACAGTGCCTGGCACAGGACTTAAACACAGTAGGCGCTAAATAAGTGCTCACTGAAGAATGAATGAGCTTACGAACTTCATTGAATATGATTTCTTAGGTCAGGTGGAGGAGAGACAGGGTCTAGGAAGGATATTGTCGTTTTTTATAAATACTTCCTAACTGGTGATAAGGTTGTCCCTGCATCTCTCTGACTAGAGAACTATAGGTTAAATTGCTAATGGCAGGTAGACTCTAAAGATGAAAACCCCTCAGCGCTCTGTCCATGACAAGCTTGTATCTATCACCACTCTTGGAGGAGCGAAGCACCTGGAACGGTAGCTGCGCTTGACCAGACAAGGACACAATCAGTCTTACACAACTGCATAACTTTACCCAGTGCTGCTACTGTGTCGTTCTTTGGCCCTTAACACCAGATCAAGGGTAGATCAAGTAAATAATTGAGATAGTAAATAAAGTGACCTGAACAGAGTGTGGCACTTACCCCTCCCCACCCTCTTTCACTAACACCCTAACAATCTGTCAGAGTTGACCAGAAACCAGCTCTGTTGCTGTCATCCCGCTGATGCTACATAAGAAGTTCATTTAGCTCTAACTCCAGCAAAGCCAACAAGTGAATTCAGGAGCCTTGTACATGAATTACTGGTCTAGCGCGGATACCGAAGGGAGTCCATTATTTGTCTTTTGCAGAAAAACACAAATTATCGACATGCTGAGTTTGGACTATATAACTCCAGAATCTGTTGGATGCCATTTTCCAGTGAATCAATATTATTTGGGGGACTTTCAGAGCTCAAGAACAGCAATATATCCTTTTTCTGAGAGCTTTAATTTCCTCTTTTTTGGAAGCAGCCCCCAGCACAATCCCATTGAGGCAATGCACCCAAGCCTGAATCTATCGCTGGGAAAGGTAACAAAAGCAGTAGAATTCTGCAAATAACATGGTTCATTTCAAACAGGAGTTCACTATTCGCTACTTCCTGAGGCTTCGGAATGTCAGGGCCTGGCTTTCCCTGTGATTACATACCAGCAGGGTAACTCCGAACTCTGAAATTTAAATCCCTCTTGGTGCTAGAGAAGTTACTACTGTGTAATCACAAAATGATTATTCTATTTCTTTGTTTCTTCAATTTATCTGCTATCTGGGAGAAGAGTATTCACTCCATAGCTATTAGCTAAGGAAATATTGAAGCATCTGCATACAACTGAAGGGGTTTATTTCTGAATGATTATTCTGAATTTTCAGTTAGAATCTGTTCACGTGTCCTCAATTTCATCCTGAACAGGTTATCCCTTGCAAGTTACTTCTTTCAAAGTATAACGTGTTTGACCTGTAATTAGGAAAATGAGATTTAGGGTTTAAAATATTTCCTTTTGAAAGAAAATTTCATTTTTCTTTTTGGATGCTGGTCCATTTACAATAAAGTTAACCAAAGAGCCCTTCTAACCACCTGAAGATAAACAGAGATTGTGGCTTGGTTTGGAAAACTTTCACTACAAATGTAACAGGGCCGTTTGGACACCCGCATAGGTGCCAGGCACCATTCCATGGTCGATCAGAACCTATTAAAATTCACCCGCATCATAGATTAAACAAATCTGAATGCAGCTCTGAAAGTTTAGTTGAGTTGAAATGGGGGTAAGTACATTTCCTAGATATTTAAACATTTTCCTCCAATTTTTAAATTTTCTTTTCTTATTTTGAAGACAGTAACTTTCCCTTTCCCCCAGGTCTCAAACACCTTCCAATGGCCTTGAAAAGCTGGAGGTCACAGACATTGAGCTTACCAAGCCTAATGGATACATCAGCTCTGCAAATCAGTTCCCCAGTTGCTAATTTTGCAGGCGATATTTGTCAACTGAGTTCAGTTAATAACTTTCCTAGTTCTTTAGGTTCTTGGTTCATTAAAAAGAACTACACAGCTAATCTGTATGATATCTAGGACAAAGTGATCTCCTAGGAATATAAAACCCTGAGTGCTTTAACATCAATTAAAATTTGCTTTTCCAAGGTCAATTTGGAGAGCACGGTTTGTTTTTTTCTGAGTAAAAACAAATAGGGAAAATAGATCTATGCGAAAAGTGGTTCTGATTCAATGGTATATTTGCATTTTACTGCAAGGTGATAACTAAATGATCTAACACCCTATGAGAGAATTTCAAGCGTAACTTAAGTCTGGAGTTGTGTATAAAGCTCTGGGTAGAGCTGAGTTTGATCCTAAGGTTTCTCTGCCATAGCACTGCTCGGTTTTGTAGGAATTCTGCTATGATGATTGTAGCTCTAGCTTTTTGCTCAGTTACTCAAACCAGCATCATTTCTTTGGCTAAAAGGAATGGCCTCATCAGGTCTGTAAGTTTTTCCAGCCAAACCCCAAGCTTCAGTTGGACTTTGCTTAAGTGTCTAGGATAATAGATTCCAGGCGCCTTGGCTCACAGACTTGGAGACCCAACACTGCCCAACAACTCATCCCAGGCATGCCTCTGAACGTCCAAAATCACAGGTCTGGCATTTTCTCTTGAAGATATTCTGCTTTGCTAAAAGAAACCCCTGTGCACAAGGCCCAGATTTTACTTTAAAATCCAGTTATAAAAGCTTTAATCTGGTCTCCAAAGTTCTGGATCATACCATTAGGATGAGCCAAAACTCAAAGGCTGAAGAAGAGTTATGTTACATTTAAACTTCAGCCCAGTGGTGAGAGGCCCCACTAGGGAAGAGGCAAAGGAGAGAAAGGAGGATGAAAGGAAACCGGGGTCTGAACCTCATTTGGCACTTTGAGCCCTTCCAATTTACACAGCCCCATTAGAAAGGGGCTGGAGAGAAAACTTAATCTGTCTGTTGAGGGTGGAGGGCAGGGGTCAAAGCCTGGAAGGAGGTGATGATAAGCGGTATCCATTTACCTATTCATTCATTCACTCATTCACCAAACGTTCTAGCACCTACTAGGTTCCGGGCCCCGTGTCACGCAGTTCCTTTAACTGTTCCTTAAGGCTGTGACTTTCCGTTTTTCCCACAGACAAAGGCCCCATTCTCTCCTGGGGAGGCTCTTCCGAGCCTCGGTGGTAGCCCCAGCAGCCACTCCAGAAGGTCCACCACCACCCCGACCCTCGCCGCCCACGAGACCACCTCGTGGTGCTCGTTTCCCAGAGCCCGGCTCTCAGCGCCCATTCCGCGGGATCCGGCGGGAGGGGCGGGAGGGGCGGGCCGGGCCCGGGGAAGGGGAGACGGGAGGCCGGGCCCTGCGCCCGCCCCCCGCCCGGTCGGCCCCGCCCCGCCCCCGCCGGCCCTGCCCCGCTCGGCCAGGTCGGCGCCGCCCCCGCCTTACCAGGGTTTTGGCTACGTTCCCCCTCTGGGTGATGTTTTTGCTGTGCTTCTCGTTGGCCATCCGGATCCGCTGTTTGGCCACCATGGCTTGGGCGCTAGGAAATGCCCTCGATTCCCACCTGCAAGAATCCCCCTGCGTTAGCCCCCCGACAGGGCCGCGCGCGTCCCGCCCGGTGCGGGCGCTGCAGGTGGCAAGGCGCAGCCCCCAAGCCCCGCGCGCCCCGCTCCCCTGCCCCCAACGAGCCGGCTCCAGAGAGAGGCCAGAGCCCGGACGGAAGTAATCTTTCATCTCAGGAAACCCTCTCCTACTTCCTCGCCATCCTTCCGGTCCCCCCTGCTACCTAACCAGCGCGGCCCGGAGGCTGGCGCTGCCGTGCGTCTTCCTCGCACCCGGCGGCCGCACTGTGCGCACTGGGCGGTCGGGATCCAGCGGCCGATCGCGGCGTGGCCCAGGGTTCCGGCGGCCCCCGGCTTTGTGCGCTCATAGGGGCGGGGGCGCCACTGCTCCGGGCCTCCAGGGCCGGGGACCCACCGAGGCCCGGGGCCCGGATTGGGACGGCCGCGCTTTAAACCAGGGCGGGCGGTCGCCCCTGCACCGCTGCCGCCTGGCCGAGAGCTGCGCTGGAGGCGGCGGCTGGCGGACGTGGGGGGTTCCCAGAAGACAAGCAGAACCAGGGCAAGGCTGGGCCCAAGCTGTTGCGGGACAGTCCAAAGAACCTCCCCTTCAGGTGTCTGGGGAAGGGCCCTGCGCGAGGGAAGCCCATTGCAGGACCTTTCTCAAGTACTGCGGAAAGGGCTGGAACTCCCTGAGGATGGGGCTAAGTGGGTGTGAGGATGGAGCTGGGGTAGGTCATCTTGCCTTGGTAGCTGAGGGGGTTTCCTGGAGGACTGCCAGCCACACATTTGAGTGAAAGGTGGAGAAAAGTCGCAGTCAGCAGCCCAGCCAGAGTTGGCAGTCACTACCCTAAGTTGGGCGGCTTTGTCTGGCTTTGGCTCCCCACCCGCCTGGGGCTGTTTGAACCTCCTCCAGCCACCCTTGTCCAGAGGGATGTGAACTGGGCGTTTCCTTGCACTAGAGGGGTAAAAACTGGAGGGTCTGTGCCTCACAGACCCTGCTGTTAGGGTCCTACAGTTTGCTTCTTCCAGGGCAAGGGGGAAAGGGGTTCAGTCCCTCACTTTTCCTTGTGCTGCATGACTTGAAGTGAGCTCTTAGAAGCTCAGAAGAGTTGAGAAAAAAAAGGGGAAACATCAGCCTGGAAGATTTGGGACAGTGTGAAGTGGTGGGGAAGAACTGGGGTATTAGATTTGTTCTGGCTCCTGCACCCCAGTCCTTCCCTTGCAGGTGTCTATAGGGTTGTGTGTGGATAGAATTTCCCAATGTCAGTGAGAATTTAGAGAGCGCTCCTTCTTTCTTTTAAGGGCTCTTTATTAAGCTCATCGTCACCCTCCTCCCAGTATGCTGTCCTTCAAGCTCTAATATAGACGGTTTGGGGGTTGCTTTTGGTAACCCAGAAGAAGACAGAATCTACCCAGCATCATTTAGTAAAGTCTGGGTCATTACTTGTTCTGCTCTAAAGGTCAGTTAGTTTCCAAACTAGTTTCCACCAACGTCACCACGATTATTACAGGACAACAAACCAAGCAGGCCCATTATTGTTTTTTTAAAGATTATTTATGTATTTGACAGAGAAAGCAAGCACAAGCAGGGGGAGCAGTATCAGAGGGAGAGGGAGAAGCAGGCTCCCGAGGAGCAGGGAACCCGATGCAGGGCTCATCTCAGGACCCTGGGATCATGACCTGAGCCGAAGGCAGTTGCTCAACCAACTGAGCCACCCAGGCGCCCCCGCAAGCAGGCCCATTATTAAAAAGACTTGTGTTTTGGGGCGCCTGGGTGGCTCAGTTGGTTAAGCGACTGCCTTCGGCTCAGGTCATGATCCTGGAGTCCCGGGATCGAGTCCCACATCGGGCTCCCTGCTCAGCGGGGAGTCTGCTTCTCCCTCTGACCCTCTTCCCTCTCGTCCTATCTCTCATTCTCTCTCTCTCAAATAAATAAAATGTTTAAAAAAAAAAAAAAGACTTGTGTTTTTAGTAATGACGGACTCTTTCGGTGGGGAGAAGAGAGAGGGCCACCCCTGCCATGGGGACATGTACTGAGGCTTGCAGAGGTGTGAGGCCCAGAAAGTGCCTCTCCCTGAGTCACCTTTCTCAGGTCTTGCCCAAATACCTGGGAGGAGGTAGAAGGTACGTTCCCTCCCGAGTTGAGTAGAGGCCTGGTTCTGAGGAACAGTAAGGAAAAGATACAGAGATGGTTGCCCCTTTGGGCCTGCCAGTAGAAACGTGTTCTTAACAGAGAGAAGTCTGCCTTCCCACAGGCTCCGGTGAGCCCACTGTTTGGGAAAATGTTCTTTCTTGACCCCTGATTCCTGCTTGATAGTGGCTGATTTTACTCCTTTTTCTTGCTATGCTTCGCTTTTACATCATTTTAAATGTGTTTGTTTTAATTATACAGAGCCTGCTTACTCACAGTCAACATGCAAACAGAAATAGGATATACAGTGAAACCTAAAGGTTTTTCTTTGCCTCTCTCACTAATTCCCATGGGTCCTAGGTTACCCTTCCAGGATTTCTTATTCATACATACTGGTGTATTTCCTTTTTAAAAACAAACAGAAGCATACTATACAAACCATGCTGTCACTTACTCTTCTCTCTTACTTTATTGACAATGTTATCACATTTACTTATAATTCATTTCTGCTTTTTCATACGTAGATCTCAGGCCTGTTTATTGTCTTGAGCATCAGCATTATTTGCTAAGAGAGGTTTTCTCTTCCATTTGGGTTCTGTCCCTTTCTCTGATCAGCCTTCCGCCTGACATAAACTAGAAGTTGAACTGGCTCATCCTAGAGGCCTTTCTACAGGGAAGCTGGGGCCAAGGTCTGAAGCCGAGTCTCTGAGGACTTCCAGAGTAACCACGGGGCTAAGAAGGAGCGAGGCCTGGGGTCCTCTTGCTTTTTGGAGGTGGGAGAACCTAGGGGAGGAATGGAAACATGATCAAGAGCTGAAAGTTCCCTTGGGTTAATTCGTGCCAGCTGCAGGAATTTTATAACATACTGGTAGCACACTTAACCACAACTTCCAAAATTGCCCTGGGTGAAGTAGCAAGAAGCTGCTAAATCATTAAAATTTAATTTTGGCTGGTAATTTTTTCAACCTTTAGAGCAAGAATCCTAACAAGCCCTACCTACATTCATCATGAGTCTGCCCCGCTTAGGGTACTGGGTGTGTGACTGTACTCTAGGTTTTACCCATCTTTACAAATGGTGGATTATCAAAGGGTACAGATGCTACACGATTGAGTTGTGATGTAGTAAATCCCTGTCATTTTTCTGTGGCTGACCAGCAGGCAAAACTCTTTTCTATTTGGGGGATTCCTCCACTGTGTGAGTTAGGACCTTCCTTTCCATTCTGGGAGCCCAGTGGAAGAGATATGGCATACCTTGTTTTATTGTGCTTTGCTTTATCATGCATTGCAGATACTATGTTTCTTACAGATTGAAGGTTTGTGGGCACCCTGCTTCAAGCAAGTCTACGGGTGCCTTTTTTCCGACAGCATTTGCTTATTTCATGTCTCTGTGTTGCAGTTTGGCAATTCTTACGATATTCAAACTTTTCCATTATTTTATCTGTTATGGTTATCTGTGATCATTGTGTACAACTCACTGAAAGCTCACATGATGGTTAGCATTTTTTAGCAATAAAATATTTTTAAAGTAAGGTATGTACTTTTTTTTTTAAGATTTTATTTATTTATTTGAGAGAGAGTGAGAGAGAGAGAGCACATGAGAGGGAAGAGGGTCAGAGGGAGAAGCAGACTCCCCGCTGAGCAGGGAGCCCGATGCGGGACTCGATCCTGGGACTCCAGGATCATGACCTGAGCTGAAGGCAGTCGCTTAACCAACTGAGCCACCCAGGCGCGCCTGTACATTTTTTTTAGATGTAATGCTGTGGCACACTTAATACACTACAGTATCGTGTAAACATGAATTTTATATGCACTGGGAAACAAAAAAAAATTTCGCTCGACTCACTTTATTGTGATATTCATTTTATTGTAGGGGTCCGGAACCGAACCTGCACAGGCATGCCTGTACTCGCCTGGGTATGGCCCAGCTTGGCCAATCATCTGCTCCCTTTGGAACTTTGAATTTTGAACAAGCAGTACAAAAAGAAAAGAACAAGTTAATGTTCATCCTGGTGTTGGGGTACCTGCGAGGCAAGCAGTATTCAGTGGTGGTGGCAGGGAGGGTGTGTGTGGTAGAGCCCACTTGTTTTGTGGTACCTGAAATTCTTAAACTCCTCTTCTGCTTCCGTTGGCCAGAGTTTATTTGTGGTGTTTACATCCAAGAACCCTGACTCATGTACGTGAAAACAGACAAAAAAACCAGAAGGTCTTGCTTGGTCATTTCCCCTTCCAAATCTGGAATGGTTGTCATGTCACTTGAAGCCTTCAGACATTGTTAGCCAGTGGTCTTTTCTCACCAAGGGGAACTGAGTCTAGAGGCCTTGGTGACAAGTGTTGTGGGTGGCCGGTTCTCAAGTATGGATGGGAATGATTGGCAGACATGCCTGCTTGAATAAAGCCAGCAAATCACCAACACTTCAATACTTTCAGTGTCTTTTTCATCCAAATCATTTTCGGCACTGCCAGAGAAGAGAAAAATTTGGCGGATCTCAACATCATCTCCTTTCGTACATGTTATATTCTGGTGCAAATGTTCTCAACAGCAGGCAGAGAAAACTAAGAAGAGAGCTGACGGCCAATGTTATCTGCTGCATGTGTTGGAATCCACTCAAGGCACTAGATTATGGTTTCATGGAATCATGCCACATCATCACTGGAAGGAAACTCAAGAGAGTCATTTGTTCAGTGTTTATTGAGTGTCTACTGTATGCCAGGCACTATTTCCGACACTGAGAATTCAGTGATTGATACAAGAGCTTCTGCCTTTAGGGAGCTCCCAGTTGTGTAGAGGAGACAAAGAAGTAAACATTGGGAGACTGCCCTAATTTCACAAATGAGCTAAAGCCTAGGAATTGCCAAAGAAATTGGAGCAGAACTGAAGGCAGAATCGAGGCCTCTTGGCTTCCCATTTTCTCAAGAGAAACATTTACCAGGTAGACTTGAGAGGAAGCCAGGGTGACAGGGCCGAGCTTTGGAGCAGCTTATACATGCACACACACACACACACACA